CCCACTCCCCGTCAAACACACACACACACACATTCAAAACACAATCACACACAAATCACACACGCACACAACAAAAAAGCACAGAAAGGCACGCATAGAATTTTAACCTTTTCCCCCGCTGCCAAGGGGGCGAGGGGGCACGCCATTTTTCGTTTGGAGGTCGATCGGGCCCTGGCGAGGCCTGGAAGCCGAACCTCCGATGCTTCGTCTACCGCGCTCGCGCGCAGTAGACGCGTCGAGCGTTACGCAACGTGTTGGCTGAATTGCACTTGCCTTGGCTTATGACAAAAAAGGACAAAGGAAAAATACAGCAGGAAGAAGGCCCTCCGAACCCTTGCAGGGGTAAAGTCTCATGAACGGGCCTGCAGGGATCCAAGAGCTCCAGCCTATCTACATGACTTTCGGCCTTTCCCGCCACAGGCTATCTACTGGCCTTCGGCCTATCCTGCCTCAGGATATCTAGGGGCCTGCGGCCTATCCCGCCGCCGCGGTGCAGGGATCCAAGATCTTCAGGCTATAATACTATACAAGGCTGTCAGGCTCGAGCTTGAGATTTCTTCAAGGCTTACCACAGGTTTTGTAAGTGTATAAAGGCTGACAATGGATAATAGTCCGTTGGCGATCCTTCAGTCGCGCGTTTAAGAAATGTCATGGTATCTAGGTTGTTTTGTGTTCTGTTGAATCATTTGCGGTCCCGTCTCAAGTTTTTTGCTAGAGCCATTATGCCCCGACGACGACGACGACGACGGCGACGACGACAACGACGATGACGTCGACGTCGACGACGACGACGACGATGACGACCACGACGTCGACGACGACGATTCATCGACGACGCGCTTCCTATTGCTTGTTCTCGTCGTCCTCCTTTCTTATGTTTGCTGGTCCGCCTTGTATGTTGCCGTGTCTCGTCGACCTGCTCTTTCTTCTCCTCCTCCGCGCAATTCGTTGAAAATGTCGACAGCCGTAGGGGCCCGAATGACTCGCACCAGGAGGTGGGTCGTTCGGGCTCCTCGCCCTTCTCCTCCTTCTCGTTATCGG